ACAGAGAGAGGAAGAGGGAAAGAGAGAGAGAGAGAGAGAGAGAGAGAGGTCAGAGGACAACTTTCAGAATTTGGTTCTGTTTTACCACGTGGGTTCCTAAACTCACTCAGGTCAGGCTTCACCTCTAACTACTGAGCCATCTCACCAGCCAGTAGCTTTCATTCTTAAGGATACTGGCATGTGAGCTAAGGCTCTGCAGGCAGGGGTGCACTTACCAGTAATATGCCTCGAATTTGGGGGAGCCTATCCTTAAGTGTGTAGCATTATGCTGGGTGGGATGGTGCATGCCTTTAATCCCAGCACTCAAGGCAGAGGCAGGTTGATCTCTATGAGTTTGAGTTCAGCCTGATCTACAGAGTGAGTTCTAGGATAGCCAGGGCTATATAGAGGAAACCCTGTCACAAAAAGCAACAATGGCAACAACAAAAGTTTGTAATATTAGTTTGTGCTCCTCAAATACAAACCCAGCTGGACACCCTCTGTATAGGCCTAATGTTTCAGGCAGCAAGGCATATCTGAGAAGAAAAAAGGGAGGAAGGTGGGAGGGAGGGATGGAAAGGAGAAGATGAGGAAAGAGCATTGTTTTTATTTATAACATTTAAACTTGGGGCTGGAGAGATGGCTCAGCGGTTAAGAGCACTGATTGTTCTTCCAGAGGTCCTAAGTTCAATTCCCAGCAACCACATGGTGGCTCTCAACCACCTTGAATGAGATCTGGTGCCCTCTGCTGGCATGCAGGCAGAAGACTGTATAGACTGTATACATAATAAATAAATAAAACCTAAAAAAAAAAATTAAACTCTAAAGTTAGAAGCAATTGCATTGTGGGGCAGTCTTTTGCTTTGTTTTTTTTTTTGTTTTTTTTTGTTTTTTTTGTTTTTTTTTTTTGGTTTTTTGGTTCTTTTTGAGATCAAGTCTCCTGGAGCTCAGGCTACCCTCAAACTCCCTGCATGCATGAGTTGTTTTGTTTTTTCTTCTGAGACAGGGTTTCTCTGTGTAATATGCTTGGGTGTCCTGGTACTCACTTTGCAGACCAGGCTGGTCTTGAACTCACAGAGATCCACCTTCTTCTCTTTGTCCCGAGTGCTGGGATCAAAGGTGTGTGCCACTACTTCCTGCTTCAACCATGAACTTCTGATCTTCCTGTCTTGGCCTCCTAACGCTGGGATCACAGGTACATGACACTATGCCTGGGAACAGAAACATGTTTAAAGACAGAGTTCTATTCTGAGTGGTGCTCACACCTGTATGCACAGGCTCTGGAAGCTGAAGAAGGACTGATACAAGTTTGAGCCAGCATGGGCTACAGTGTGAGACTTCAACAACTATAATAAAAATCCATTTCTTATTGTTTTAGTAGGAAATATGCTACAAGTATCCAGGTGGTAGCATGGAGACACCATGTGGACCAAGAAAATGAAATAACTGCTAAGTGACCTTAAAGTTGGGCCCCACTTCTGAGCCATACTACCCGAGAATACTGCAAATTGTTGTTTTTTTCCTAGTGCTGGGAATTAAACTTAGGCCCCTGAGCCTGCTGGACAAACATTTTACCACTGAGTTATATACCTCCAGCCCTTTTTATATTTTTTAGTTTTTAGACAGGGTCTCATCTGTTGCTCAGAATGGCCTTGAATTTTCTCTGTAGCCCACACTGGCCTTGAATTTGTGATCCTCCTGGGATTACACATCTGGATGAATAGTTTGGAAAATCTGTATTAAGGGTTGCATTTCATCCACAGATAAATCTGTCAGATTCAGCCAGGCAGAGGTGGCTCATACCTTTAATCTCAGCATTCGGGAGGCAGAGGGCAGGCTGATCTCTGAGTTCAAGACCAATCTGGTGCACAAAGTGAGTTCCAAGACAGCCAAAGCTATTACACAAAGAAACCCTGTCTCAAAAAAAGCAAAAAGCCCAAAACTAAGAACTAACTAACCAAACAAACAAACAAAAAAACCAGAGATGTTAAATTCTAACTCCCTCTCCCTATGAATGAGACCTTTACAATATGAATGGGACCTTAGAAGAAAGGGCCTTTTACAATTCAGCTTAACATGAGATGAAGTCATGATTCAGGGCTTGACCTCAGAGACAGACATACAGAGGGAAGATATAACTAGGAGGAGATAGCCCAGTCACTGCAACCATATGCCTACAAAGCAAGGGGTGGCCATGAATGCCAGCAACTCAAAAGCTCAGGAGGCAACATGGGACAGACTCCCCACCAGCCTTCAGAGACAGCATGGTCTGCCCACTCCTGGGTTTCAGACTTCCAGAAACATCTCTGAGAGGGCTTGGTGGTGTAGGCATGTCATCCCAGGTTCTCAGGAGAACAAGGCAGCAGGACCCCGAGTTCAAGTCCAACCTGGAATGCAAAGTGGACTCGAGGATAGTCTGGGCAATTTAGTGAGCCATTTGTCTCCAAGTAAAAAATACAAAGATGGCTGAATGATGTAGCTCAGTAGTGGTGTTTGCCTAGCAATCTTGAGGCCTTGGGTTTAATACCAGGGCCAGTAAGGGGATCCATTTCTGTTCTATTAAGGGATTCAGTTTGTGGTGTTTTGTTAAGCCAATGTCACCATGTAATTATCTTATAAATAGGGCAGTTATGGCTGTACACATTGGCTGTTGACACAGCTTATAAGAGGTCACTTTTAAACCCAAGCATCTAAAATATGTTACACATTTTGAAACTAAAAAAGCCAATGTTTGAGATAAATAAACAGTTGAGCACAGATGGTATGTTAGAAAGTCATATAATGGGATGTTATATATTCACACTCACATATCCCACATCCTTACATCTTTATGTATGAGCTTCCAGGCCTGTCCCAACCTGTGAGAAGTCCTAAACAGTTTTTTTTTTTTTTATTTTATGTTTATTGGTGTTTTGACTGTGAGGGTGTCAGTTCCCCTAGAATCGTTGTTACAGATAGTTAGTTGTAAGCCACCATGTGGATGATGGGAACTGAACTGGGGTCCTCTGGAAGAGCAGTCAGTCCTCTGCTGAGCCATCTCTCCAGCCCAAGAAGTCCTAAAACAGTTTTAGGGTTTGTTTTTCAAGATTTATTTATTTATTATGCATACAGTGTTCTGTCTGCATGTATGGTTGCAGGCCAGAAGAGGGCACCAGATCTCATTCATTATGGATGGTTGTGAGCCACTATGTGGTTGCTGGGACTTGAACTTGTGAGCCACTATGTGGTTGCTGGGACATCTGGAAGAGCAGCCAGTGCTCTAAACCGCTGAGCCATCTCATCAGCCCCCTCCCCCTTTTGTTCAAAACAGGGTTTCTCTGTAGCTTTGGAGGCTGTCCTGGGAACTACCTCTTGTAGACCAGGCTGGTCTCAAACTCACAGAGATCCACCTGCCTCTGCCTCCAGAGTGCTGGGATTAAAGGCGTGCGGCACCACCACCTGGCTTTTCTCTCCTTTCTTAAGATTATATTCTTCTAAAGTGACATGGGACATAGAGTCAAAACATCACAGAATGTGGATGATTGTGGGTGATCAACAGACTGCTCTTAAAACTCTCTCTAGCTAGAGGAATAGCCATCACTTCTAACCTGGGAAGCCAATTCCTTCTGACTGATATCCCTCACATTTCATAGGCAGCCAAGTCTGAGGTCAAGGACCTCCAGAGCTGGGATCTGGGAAAGCTGCTTTCCTCTCCTGGGTCCTGGGATTTGGGGAAGAGCAAAAGAGGATGGGGCACTCTTGTGTTGTTGAGACACTCTTGGGAAGGCTAGGGATTCACTATGTAGCCAAGACTGGCCTTGATCCTCCTGCTTCTGCCCTGAAAGTGCTGGGATTATACCACTATACCAGGCTCCTGAGGACACATTTTTCTTTTCTTTTTCAAGACAGTCTCTCACCCAGGCTGGCCTCAAACTCCCTGTGTAGCCAAATGTGACTTTGAACTTCTGATCCAGTGCTAGGAATCAAACCCAGGGCCTCCTGCATGCTACCCAAGCACTCTACCAACTGACGGATATCTCCAACCACAAGGAACACTTTGATAAGACACCAGTCCCCCTTCCCCATTTGTGAGGCTCTATGTGGGACCTCATCACTTCTCAAAGGCCCTACATCTTGATATAGTCACTTTGGGGTAAGGGGCATTAAAATGGGAATGGCATGGGGAACAAACAATACATACTACAGTCATCTGTAGATACAGAAAGCCAAAACATGAGTCAACTTGGCTGCTTGAGGTCCTGAGTTTAATCCCCTGAACTGTCATGAAAAACAAACAAACCAACAAAAACCAAAGGCCTTGTGTATATTAGCCTCTCTGGCCCATTTCTTCTTCCTTCTAGCTCCTCAGCTCAGCTGCACAGCGGCCTTCATAAGCCACTTCCTCTCCCTGGAATCTTTTCCTTCACAGGTTCCTTGGTACCCTCCCTCACTTTCCTGTGTCTTGTTCCTCCCTTGCTATCTCAGGGATAGTCTGGGGTCATCCTCCTGCCCAGCCACTTCCTTCCTCCTTTCCAATTCAGAAGCCATCATCCTCTGGACAGCGAACATCCTGTATCCATGGAGATTGGGTCCTGGAATCACCTGCAACCCTGCTGGTAACCAGATAGGCAGATGGTTGGGTCTCTTATATAAAAACAAAGTCACATTTGCATGTAACCTATGCATATCCTGAGTACTTTAAACCCTTTGGTTACTTATACCTTACACAATGTATACAGTATGTAAGTAGTTGCATAGTAACTGTATTGTTTAGGAAATAGAAACAAGGGGCACCCCATACACACTCAGTAAGGATGCAATGTCCCCTAATACTTTCAACATGCAGTTGGCTGAACCCACATAAGCAAAACTGTCTTGTACAAAGACAGCCACCTATGTTTACTTATCTAGTTCATTTCTAGTCTGGTTTTTGCTTGCTTGCTTTGAGACAGCCATCCCTGGAACTCCCTGCACAATTTGCAGGCAGCTCCACTAAAGAGTATCCTCTCTGTCAGCAAGTGTTTAGTGTTTGTATGACCTCAGAGAGGGCCAGCTTGGAGTTTACTCAATAAAGATTCTCCAAGAATTTTCAAAGACAACACCAAGGCCTAGCTCAGGTCTGAGGTGTGCTGGGATCCAGTGCAGGTGAAGCCATAAAGCACACAGGTTGCATACAGTCTAGGGCACAACACACCCTCTGCACAACTCTGAGTTAAGGAAGAGATGACGTCAGGATGCCTAGTCACACAGATATCTGACATATCTCTTTGTTTTGCTTTTTGGGAAAAGAAGTTCTGTGTCAAGGCCAAGCAGCCATGTGTTATATGAGCCACACTCTCCACTTAGAGAAAGCCGAGCATCTGAGAAGTTACTGGCAAATGAGATGGAAAATGCCCAAGAGTTTCTTACTCCTTTCCAAAGAAAACAAACCTGCTGGAGACTGCACAAACAGAAAATACTGGTCCTGCATTGTGTAAATTATATCTGCTTAATGATTCCTTCTATGAACTATTAAAGTTCTAATAGTGTGTGCATTTAGATCTCCATCATTTATTTTGACCCCCATAGTGCTGAGCAAGTGCTATGTCGCTGAACCACCCTGCGGGTCTTGAATCTCCATGATTCCCACTAGAACACAGTTCTGATTATTTGCTGCATGTTCAGAAGGAGCCGAAGGTCCAGTTGATGGCCCAGTGGCCACTCAGTGAGTGTGCATTATGTTCAAGGTCCTGTGCTCCATGTGAATGTGAAAGACAGGTGACTTCACTTATTCCATTAAGGAGACAGATAAATGACAAACCTATGAGTCATGATGCCAGTTGAGTGCTTTGGGGAAATGAATAGGTGCTTTGATGGGGAAAGCCTGGGTATGAGGCAGTAGCTGGACAGGGTATTTAGGCTGGGCCCTTTAAGGAGCTTCAGCCTGAGTAGGGAGAGGAGCCTGTAAGGCAAAAGTGTGGGGAAAACCTTTAGTCAGAGAAACCAGTAAGTCTACAAATAGGCTGAAATAAGATCCAGAAAGGTTGTGAGGGCTCCAAAGAGTTACAAGAAGAGAACAGGACAGAAGAGGAGAGGGAGGCAAAGCTACCTTTGAGTGATACCCTTGATACTCAAAGATACCCTTGAGTGAAATAATCAAAATGACTGCAGGGCTGGAGGAGGGCTGCAGGGCTGGCGGTGGGGGTGGGGGTGAGTCTGAGGCTGAACCATCCAAGCTGTATCCCCAAAGATTAATCACAAGGAAGTATAGAACCCCATTCAGATGGAAACTGCTAGCTTTCTGCTGCTATCCAACATATGCTTGAGCTATTGCCCTGTCATGAGACAGCTTTATCACAGTTTTAAAGGATTCAGCCTGTGGTTGGTTGACTGGTCCATTGCTTTGGGCCTATGGGCAGGCAGCAAATCATGGTAGGAACGATTAGCAAATCATGGCCAGAAAGAGAAAGAGAAAGAGACTAGGGCCCCATAGTTCAAGTACAGCCCCAACAGAACCTAAAGCCCCTCTTTAGGTCACATCACAGTATCAACACACTGGGCCAAAGCCTTTGGGGGGACACTCCAGATTCAAGCAACAGCCTGGATGTCCTGCAAAATGACTGGTATCAAGGGACTCTCTAGACTCTAGATTTAAAGACAACCAAAGCAACAGGTAACTCTGGGATGGGTCCCAGATTAGACACTTTAGTGTCATAAATGGGATTAAGTTCTGCAGATTTGGTGACATGGTGTTGGTCAGTATACAGAAGTTATATAGTCGAGGGTCCTTAGTTTTAAGAAATACATATGAGGAACATTGTGTACTATACACTCTCAAACATTTCAGAGGGAATATCATGCGTAAGCAGAGGTCTTGATTCTTAAGGGTTTTATTTATATATGTATTTGCATTTATTCATGTGTATGTATAACATTGTTCATGAGGCTGAATGCCTTAAGCATCCTAGTGTTCCCTGCTAGAAGCTGAAGAAGCTGGGCTTGCTGTCAGCTGAGTATAACAGCAGCAGCAACAATGACATAAATACACTCACATCAAGAGGAAGGGGGAGACTGGGCTGCTTTTTCCTAGGACCTCTGTATCTGGGACACTTAGGGAAGATGTTGCCTATCATGGGGGAGTGTCTTCCCACCTCAGTTAATGCTTCCTGGAAGTGCCCTGAGGACCCATGCAGAGGTGTGTCTCTTAGTTAATTCCAGATTCAACCATGCTGACAACAGATATTGGCTATCCCAAACATATATGTATGCCTTGTGAGGAAGGAAGTGGATGATAGACACGAAGTATGCTAGCAACTTCTCTTGTCACCATGACCAAAAATACTGGAAAGAATATAGTGCTGAGGAAGGACTTACCTTGGCTCATGGGAATACAGTCCACCATAGCAAGACAGCATGGCATTGGATCTCACTCTATGGTAGTGGGAGCTTGCAGCTTCACACTGTAGCTGACCAGATACTTCAGGATATGATTTTTAAGGCTCTCCACCCCTAACCTGTCCCCTGACCCTACCCCAGTCATCCACTAGGTCACAAGTCTAAAACAGCACCATTGGTGAGGTATCTGACACTCAAGCCTTCAGGGGCTATCTCAAATTCAAAATATAACATACCATTTGGGGATTCAGAAGAAAATACAATTAGCTACTTTGCTCATTGTTATAGCAAAAATGCTTTACAAAAAGCAACTTTAGGAAAGGAAGAGTTCATTTTGGCTTACAACACCATGATACAATCTACTATATCTGGGGAAGGTAGAAGGTATAATGGCAAGAGGGTAAGGCAGCTGGTCACTATGTCCACAGAGAGGGAGTAGAGAGAGAGAGATGGATGCTGGTACTCAGCTCACTTTCCCCTTTTTATTCAGTCCAGGGTACAGTCCATGTTCAGTTAAACCTCTCTGTAAGCACATGAGACACACGCAGAGGTTTGTCCGATTGGCAACCTTAAATCCTGTAGACCAACCATCACACCCTAAAATCCCTTCTCCAACTGAAACTTTTCTCCAGGGCTGTACAAATTACTGTCTATAGCTGCACCCACCCCTGACACCCCACACCTCCAAGTCCAAGCTCTCACAAGTGTTATACAGCTGCCAAGATTTAAAGTGCAGGCTAAGTCTGGGTTTGCAGTTGGATGACAGAGACAAGTATCTCTGTAAACTAGGAAGCAGTAGGCAGCCACGAGTCTGGACAGTGCTGGCAGGGAAAGCATCCCACTCGGGTGTATTTTCTTCTGCTTTCTTGGAGGAGGCTCTTTAAATTCTAAGCTTGGGTCAGTTAGTAACAAAATACAACACACTTAATGATGCATGCCATTCAGGAGGCTAGATGCCAGGACAGGAAATACCCTGGTGAGTTTTCCAGGGGAGGGGGTCACCGGTGATCTCACTACCCAGCACCCACTGCTACTTTTATCAACAACCTAAACCAAGAACTAAAATTAGGCAGATTGATAGTTTCCTCGACTCTCAATTTGATCACATCCCTTTCTATCTTCTATTGAAGACAGCTAATGGCATAGCCCCTTGTAGCCAATTTAAGATTCACATACCCAAGAATACAGTTTTTTTGTTTGTTTGTTTTTGAGACAGGGTTTCTCTGTGTAGCTTTGGAGCCTGTCCTGGCACTCTCTCTGCAGACCAGGCTGGCCTCGAACTCACAGACATCTGCTTACCTCTAGCCTCCCAAGTTCTGGGATCAAAGGCATGCGCCACCACCACTTGGCTGTAATTTTGTATTTATATCACATTACATATACACTATGTTAAGATTATGAAATTGTTCTTTTGTGCCACACACAACCACTTTCCCTTCTCCCATTCACTGTTTTCCCCAAACAGTATCCTTCCGGGATCTACCTAACCATAATGAAATGGATGACATTTATTTATTTTTTCTGATTTTTCGAGACATTTGTTTTCTTATTGGTACTACGGATTCAACCAAAGTCTTGCATATGCCAGGCAAACAGTTTGCCATGAGTTATCTCACTAAGTTGCCCATGCTAGCCTTGCACCTGAAATCCCTCTAAGGCCTGTGCTGTCTCCTTTTAAACTGCATAGTACAAAAAAACAGCAGGGCCACAAGCTCTCGTCATCAGGGATGTATTTTCCGTTTTCCCAGCAGCATCTGTATTTACTGGTGCTTTGGGTAACTTGGCTTCCAGCAGGCCCAATCTAATTGTTGTTTTCCCAGGCCTGTGAGGATCCCTCCCTGGTCACTTGGTGCTCAGGAGAGAGCCAGGGTGGAATATCTTCTGAGAAATGGATTATGCACCTCGGCCATGAAATAGAGGCGGAGTCCCGGGGGCATGGACGCCCCCGACTGCATCCTGCCCCATCCTCAGAGTCTGTGCCACCAGCTTAGGGTCGCAGGGCCCCCACACGTGTAAAGCCAGGACGCGTTCACCCCTGGCACGCGTGGCCTATCAGCAATCTGACGCAAGCTGGGTCGCGGGCACGCGCGTCCTCATTCATTCACTCCTTCATTCATTCTGGGGACACAAGCACTCAGCGATCCTCCGCCCGCGGGGTCCAGCGTGTTCGTGGAGACAGGACGCGGGGACGAAGGTAGGGCGGTGCCCGCTGATCAGCGGCAAGCGACAGGGAGAA